CTATGGTCACCTTATCTTTGACAAAGGAGGCAAGGATATACAATGGAAAAAAGACAACCTCTTTAACAAGTGGTGCTGGGAAAACTGGTCAACCACCTGTAAAAGACTGAAACTAGAACACTTTCTAACACCATACACAAAAATAAACTCAAGATGGATTAAAGATCTAAATGTAAGACCAGAAACTATAAAACTCCTAGAGGAGAACATAGGCAAAACACTCTCCGACATAAATCACAGCAGGATCCTCTATGACCCACATCCCAGAATATTAGAAACAAAAGCAAAAATAAACAAATGGGACCTAATGAAACTTAAAAGCTTTTGCACAACAAAGGAAACTATAAGCAAGGTGAAAAGACAGCCCTCAGATTGGGAGAAAATAATAGCAAACGAAGCAACAGACAAAGGATTAATCTCAAAAATATACAAGCAACTCCTCCAGCTCAACTCCAGAAAAATAAATGACCCAATCAAAAAATGGGCCAAAGAACTGAACAGACATTTCTCCAAGGAAGACATACAGATGAGTTTGAATTTTTTAAAACGGAGTATCAGGACTTCCTTGGTAGTCCACCGGTTAAGACTCCATGCTTCCAATGCAGGGGGCATGTGTTACATCCCTAAAAGGAACTAAGATCCTCCACGCCAGGTGGTATGGCCAAAAAAAAAAAAAAAAAGAAGGAGTTTCTATAAAACTATGAAATAGGAAAACAAAAGGAAAAGAATAAATGTAAACAAAAGTCAGAGATAAAACTGACATGATAAAGATATCAAAGTCCCTAAGAGAAAGAAAAGTCCTCTTGACTCATTTGCTTGAGTATTTAACAACCTACCTGCACCATTACCCCTTACACATCCTGCCTGTCATTCATTCTCACTAAATAATGATGAACAAGATATTTCTCTGGTGAATTTTTATAGGCAAACTATAGTTACAGTATGGGCACAAGTAGTTTTCTTCAGAAGTGTTCAGGGTAGAAATAAGGAGAGTGTGATATATTTTAGTAAGAGGAAAATCCAGAATATTAACTAAAGAGGAAAAAAAGAAGGAGATGATTTTGAAAAAAAAAAAGACTGTTAATGTGGCAACAAACGCAGATTATTTTACTAAACAAACACATACATAACAGACCTTGCCTAGGATTCACTTAGAGCAAGCCTTTCAAAGAACTTTCTTGCAAAGAACTCATAAGAAGGAAAAGAAGAACATAAAGAACTGCAATGTTCTGGGTAAAGAGTAAAGTAGATCTCTGCATGACATCAGTCAAGGGATGGTTACTTCTACTGTAGGACTAAGGAAGGCTTCCTGGAAGAACAAGGAGCTCAGCTTCTCCAGGATAGAAAATCATCCAAGCAGATACAGTGAAATTAAGTTAAAATGCTGGGCATCTCTGCAAATACGATTATCTTGGCATAATTGCAGTTAGCTCATTTTGACAAATGATATTTCAGTAGAAGGGGTGAAAAAAATGTTGTAAAATAAGAAGTCAAATAAGACCCAGAGGGATGGGATGGGGAGGGAGGCGGGAGGGGGGATCGGAATGGGGAACGCATGTAAATCCATGCCTGATTCATGTCAATGTATGGCAAAAACCACTACATTATTGTAAAGTAATTAGCCTCCAACTAATAAAAATAAATGAAAAAAATAAAATAAAAAAATAAAATAAGAAGTCAAAGGGATGTCACCATTTAGTCCTGTACACCACATTTATTCTGAGATACATTCTTTCTCACACTTCACATCTGTGAAATCTGCGTGGACTCTACTAGTGATATTGTCTCATAAGGTACATTTTTTTTAATCATTTTCCACCAGTGTATAAATTATGATTTATCTAAAGCTTATCAGAACACTGATTTGATCAAATATGATGGTTATTTGATAAAATATAATGAGATTGACTCCTGGGCTGTCAAGCTGAATTTCTGGGCTCCTGGGTAATTGCTCCAAATGGGAAAGGAGACATGGTGAAGGCTCACAAGATAGTCTGATATGACCTGTTAAGAACACAAGCAGTTGGACAGAGAACAAATTATGACATTGTTTATATGCAGAATCTAAAAAATGATACAAATAAACTTATTTACAAAGTAGAAATAGAGTTACAGTTTTATACAACAATCTTATGGTTACTAGGGGAGCAGGAGTGAGGGATACATTGGAAGATTGGAATTGACGTATACACACAAATATATATAAAATAGAAAATTAACAAGGGACCCACTGTGTATCACAGGGAATTCTACTCAATACTCTGTAATGATCTATGTGGGAATAGAATCTAAAAGGAGTGGGTATATGTATAACTGATTCATTTTACTGTACAACAGAAAGTAACACAATATTTAAATCAACTATATTCTGACCAAAAAAACTTTTAAATTAAATAAAAAGAACAGAAGCAAACAAAATTACTCTACAAAACAGATATTTGTATAGCTATGTTCATGGCAGCAGTATTCACAACAGCCAAAAAGTCAATTCAAGTCAAGCTTCCATTGGCAGATGAATAGATAAAATTTGTTATACAGTCTTAAAAAGGAAAGAAATTCTAATATGTGTTGCTACATGAATGAATCATGAGGACACTAAGCTGCATGAAATAAGGCAGTCACAAAAAGAAAAATAGTGATGATTACACTTATAAGAATTACTTAGTCAGATTTCTGTAGACAGAAAAATGAAGGTTGCCAAGGGATGGAAGAGCAATGAATGAGGAATGGGACTTCATGGGCATAGACATTCAGTTTTTTAAAATGAAAAGAGTTCTAGATACTGCTTGCATACAATGTGAATGAACTCAATCCTACTAAATTGTATGTTTAAAATGACTACTGTGGTAAGTTTTATGTCATGTATAATTTACCATTACTTTAAAAAAATAGATTTACATAAAAACATGAGTTGGAAGAAAGGGGAAAAGTTCTGATGGAAATGTTGAGATTAGAATGATGTAGTAACTAAGTGAAGGGAAAGAGTGACAGAATGGACAGAAAGGAAAGGTTAAAAATGAAAACTCACCAGCGCCTCCAAAACCATAATGCAAGACATATCAAAAGGATCAAGGAGGGCACTATTATTGCCACAAATATCAGGCCAATGTATGTGGGGTGTCCTGGCAATATGGAGAGGACACAAGAACGTCATGTTAAACCCATTCACTAGTTCTCCTGGCCTTCCTGCCCACCTGAGTGTCAGCACCACCATTACCTGCTTACTGACACTTCTGGTTCCCTTTCTCTTATTCCCAGATGTCATATAGTCACAGCCACCCTTAGTCTCGCCCTCTTGCCCCATTCCACCCAGTCTGTAGTCCTTCATCCTTACCTATTCTATAGCTTAGATCATTATTTTCATTCTCTCAGCACTGTAGTCCCAGAAATAAACCTCAGCTTTTCTCTCTCTCTGCCTCTCCCTTCCTACCTCTCCCTCTGTCGCTCTTTCTCCCCTCTCTCCATCCATCTCTCCGTATCTCACCCATCAAATCCCTCCCCTTCCCCAGGCCCTCCCTCTGGGCTTGAGGACCACCTCCTCCCATCCCCACTTCCTCCTCACCCCAGTACAGGATGATGTCCTGATCTCCCAGGCTGCTGTGCTTCACTCGGCAGCTCAGGCCAGCCGCCTCCCCAGCCGCCACATCCAGGATTACCCGGAGATACCACGTCCAGTCTGCATTGGGCATGATGTCTCCTTGCTGAGCGCCAGGCTGCTCCTGCTCGCCCCTCATCCACGTCACCCGCACGGGTTTTGGGTAGAATCCTGAGACGTGGCAGACCAGCCGCAGGCGGCCAGGCCGGGAAGGGGGGCCACTGGACAGCCAGGCCTCTGGCTTCACTGGGGTAGGAAGAGGTAGAAAGAGTATCAAGTTAGGTCTCTAATCTCTAGCATACAGAGTCAGAAACCCACAAGTGTTGACAGTGACCTCTTCCACTTCTTTGGAAACTAAGTAATGTATTGATTAAACCCCTCTCTTCATAGGTACCTCCTACTCTCAAATTTAAAGAAGGTGGTGGGAGGTGAATAGGAAAGTCTTGGGGAGAGAATGGGATTAACCTTGCCTCTGCAGTTCTGCCTTCCCTGCATCGAGGACACCCAGGAGATATCGGGGGCAGGTTTCTGAGAGGAGCGTGTCTATGATACCCCAGATGCCTTGGTACTGAGTAATGAGTACACAAAACCACTGTGCCTTGCTGCCTCCCTCTGGCTCAGGCACACATGAATGATTCTTGATGCTCATGAAATCCAGTCCTTCAAAACCTGCTCTCAAGAAGCTTTGTATGGCCTTCCCAGAATGCAGCTCACAACCTGCTATGCCTTGAATCACAAAGGGGTCTATAAAGAAAGAAAACAGAGACCTAGTTATTTTAAAACACACAAGAAAGAGATGGGGAAAGGACATGGGACTTTGGATTTGGGTGTAGAGAAAGGTCAAAGATATGAAAGGATGACCCAAAAATCAATTGCTGTACTCAGAGACTTTTCAGAAAGACGAGCATTCCAGAGAGGTATGCATGTTGTAAATGGTGGAGATGGGCTCTTGTGAGGAAGTTGGGTGGGCAAGAGGGGAGAAGAGGAGCAATGTGTGATGGAGTCAGGAGTGCAGCACTCCAGGGAAAAGGGGAGAGTTACACTGAGAGAAGAGATCAGGCAACAGTTGTTTGAGCAATGGATTGGAGAAGTCACACTTTAGTTCACTCAGGCACAAGGTAGGAAAAGGAGCCTTTTCCTTGGGATCTGAGAGAAGCCAGTTATGCACAAACAAACCAAGAGATGGCTACAAAAGAGGGGTTTCATCTGTCACAGAAGAGTGCAAGAAACAAGAAGAATCTGGGATACCTGGTGGAGGTATTGAGTCAGGGTTGGAGACTACTCTGGAGAGGTATATACATGCACTTGGGTAAAAAGGGAAGGAGAAGACCATGATCAGAGGGAGTCTGAACCAAGAAAGAGAAAAGTCACCGTGAATCTCCCCAGTTCAGAGGACTGTACTCACATTCAAACTGGAGTTCACTTGCAATATCCTGCACTTCCCGAGTGAACTCAATGAAGTAGACTCGGAATAGTTCCTCCAGCTCAGCCAGCTCCTCATCACTGAAGTTGCCCTTTGACCAGGGCTTCAGGAAGATGGCAGTGCCTGAGTCACTGTCCCAGCCATGAATCTGCAAATCATCCAACCAGCCTGAGCCTTGATTTTGAGTCCAGGTGCTGTTGGCAAAGGTTGAAATCTGGATGAGATGGAAGGAGGTTGGCCCCTGTAATGCTGTGGTTGTGGAAAGATAAGAAGAGTGAGGAGAAAGAGAGAATTAGGATGGAAAAGAACCCAGAGTCTGAATAACAACTTAGAGGCTTAAACATTTCTGGCTCCAACCCTAACCTCCAGAATGGGGGAGAGGGTGGGAGACAGGAGAGCCCAGACCCTTGTTGCTGGTGCAACATGTTTTTATCCAGAGCCCCTGACCTGGGCTGGGAACAGTGAGAGTTACTCTTACCATGCTCATTGTCACCACCCGGGACAATAACTGCTAGCAATAGAAGTGACAGAAGCAGCATTTCAATGGGAAGTAGAACTTCTGACTCTCAGAATTGGCATTTGATCTCTAATTCAGCAAACTTTCTTCTCACTACCCTTATAATAACTTCCTCTCTCTTCCAACTGACAAATCTCTGACCTACATTGCACATCACAGAAAAACTTTTCTCCCACACATTTGGGCTCCCACCCTGCCTCTCATTTCCACTCTAGTCCTTCACTTGGAGATTTTATTTTAATGTCTCTGACTTTCAGCTATTCTCCTTGATCTCAGTTTCCTTCCTATTTATTACCTTGGGAAAGCTACCATGTGATGTTGAAAGGTTATTTCACCTCCCCAATCCTTTATTTCCACACCTTTGAAATAGGAGGGTAATATTAGACAATTGCTCAGGTTCCATTCTGTTTTAATCTAGAAGAGTTACGTTGGTTTATCCATCCAATTCAACCACCCTCCCCACAGCCCATCTCCTCTGGCACTTTGTCATTACCTCTTGCAAGTATCTAAATGATCCCTCTTTCTTATCACATCTCTCTTGCCTCATCTAACCTTGCATTCTCCTTTGTGTGTTAGTGTGTGTGTTTGTGTGTCTGTGTGAATGTGTATATGTTTGTGTGTCAACAATAATTTGCATGCAGGAAACTCATTCAAAACACTTCTTTTTGCCAGGAATCAAATTCCAAAATTAAATTTGATACATACTGCAGTTGATAATCTAAGCAAAATTGTCTTATACCATAGTGATTTTTGAGATCAAAATTATTTACTATTAAAACCTAGCAGGACACTGTGATATCCACTTGGGCACAAAAGCTTTTCTGTCTCTTGTTCCTTGATTATAGGAAATAGGCTTCATGTGGCCTCCTTTCTGTTCCCTGAGTTTCAACAGGTAGATTCAAATAGTTACTAACGAGGGAAAGTAAAAGATGCTTTCTCCTTGAAAGAAAAGATATGACAAACCTAGACAATGTATTAAAAAGCAAAGACATCGCTTTGCCAAAAAAGGTCCCTATAGTCAAAGCTATGATCTTTCCAGTAGTCATGTACAGATATGAGATTTGGACCGTAAAGAAGGCTGAGTGCTGAAGAATTTCTGGTTTTGAATTGTGGTGCTGGAGAAGACTCTTGACAGTCCCTCGGACTGCAAGGAGATCAAACCAGGTGATTGTAAAGGAAATCAACCGTGAATATTCATTGAAAGGACTGATACTGAAACTAAAGCTTTAGCCACCTGATATGAAGATCCAACACATTGGGAAAGACCCTGATGCTGAGAAATTTTGAAAGCAAAAGGAGAAGGGGGCAACAGAGAATGAGATGGTTAGATAGCATCACTGACTCAGTGGACATGAATCTGAGCAAGCTCTAGGAGATAGTGGAGGACAGAGGAGCCTGGCATGCTGAAGTCCATGGGGTCACAAAGAGTCAGACAAGACTTAGAAACTGAACAACAACATCAATCAGGGAAGGGATGGAATGCAGAAAGAAGAAGCAATCAAGGAACAGAGCAGCCTTTGGAAGAGATCCTCTTCAAAGAGGCTACAAAGCAATCTTGGAGTTCATCTTCAGGAAATAAGGCCATCACCACAGATGGAAGATGGTTACTGCAGTCTGAACACAAAATTCCAGAAACACTGTTTTGTTACCTCAGCCCCAGACAGAGGAAAGTCACACACCCTGCCATCCTCCCCCAAAATTTTGCCTATAAAATCTTTTTCCCCAAACCATCATAGAGTTTGACATTTTTGAGTACTAGCCACTGATTCTCTTTGCTTGGCCTTGTTTAAACCTTCCTCTGCTTCAAACTCTTACATTTGTCCTATTTTGCTTCAGGCACACGAACTTGTGTTTGGTAACAATCTTGGTGAGCCATCCTGGACTCTGTGCCCATATATCTCAATGGTCCCTCTTTCTTGTCTCATCCCTCTTGCCTCATCTCTCTAACCTCACATTTTCCATTCTTTGTGTGAGTGTGTGTGTATTAGTGTGTGTTGATAATCATGTACATGCAGATATTTAAAGCACTGCCCTATCTGGCCCAAATCTCAGAATTAAAAGTGATGAATATCACAGTTTGTAATATGAGTAAGATTGTCAGAAACCATGTTGAAAATTACATTTACTACTGAAACTGAGCAGGATGTTGATACCCTCCTGGGCACAAAAGCTTTCCTGTCCCCTGTCCCTTATTTGTAGGAAATACTTCATTCAGCCTCTTTTACCTTCCTGAGTTCTAAAAGGCAGATTCAAACAGTTGCTAGTCAGGGAAGGGAGGGAATGCAGAAAAAAAGAAAAAGCAATCAAGAAACAATAGGGCAGCCTTGGGAGAGGGTCCGGGTTCTTCTTCAAAGAATGGACATAACAAAATCTTTGAGTTCTTCCACAGGAAATTAGGCTACCAACCTAAGTGGAGGATGGCAACTTCAGACTGAGCCTAAGATTCTGAAACATCACCTTGTTACCTCATCACCAAGCAGAAGAAAGTCACATATCCTCCAGCCCTGCCCCCAAATTTTGCTTATAAAAACTTTTTCCCAAAACTACCATGGAGTTTGGTGTTTCTGAGCATGAGCCACCTGCTCTCCTTGCAAAACCCTTCCTCTGCTCCAGAGTCTGGATCAGTTTGTTTGGCCTCACTGTGCCTCAGGCACCTGGACTTATGTGCAGTAACATTTTTGGTGGGGCAGCCAGGAGTCTGTGCCCATGGCAGGTCAACCAGAAGTAGCCCCTTCCCTGAATCCCTAGCAGATATTGGGGCTCACTTTGCTCAGAAAACTGGAAGAGACTCTCTATGATAGGTATCAGTCACCTCGCAACAAAGACTGTTTGGATTCAAGACACGTCTGAAACTACAGTCCATGTTCAGTGTCACTTGAGGTTAAGTTGCTCCAGCTAGCACTGGGAAATCCCTCCACTCCATCTGAGCTACCTCCCTTACAAGAACTGAGCCACTTAGGTCTCCCTGAGAGCCACTCTGGGTATATTCTTTTTCAATAACTGGGTCAATCTATTTGAGCTCTCCATCTGGGCATGAAAGTAGACTTTTGAGACTACATGCCCTCTGATTTTCTGTCTGTATTACAGTAGCTTATTTGTTACTATGTTTGTGTATGTGTGTGTGTCAGTATTTTCACTGGCCAGCTGAGATGAGTTTGTTTAGTAACAGAGTTCTTTGTTGCATTGGGCTTCACCTGTGTCAGAACATTGGTTGGGATTTTCCCTTTTGGACTAGCCTTGGTCATTCATTCATTCAGCTTTGTCTCTGATGGGGCATTCATTGGGAATATCCCTTTCAGGGACTAGAGAACTGAAACTCTCAGAGACCTTTCTGCATTGCTTTGATTTGTTATTTGGCTGTGAATAATTTAGTGTGGGTGATTAGAGTTCTGTTTCATCTTGCAGGATATTCTTGCAAAAATCAAAGAGATCTTCAGCTATGCTCCCAGGAAAAGGAGTTGTTATTTCTCTCCCTTTGTACCTTGATGTAAATGTTGTAGCAGAGCTCTCGGGAACATTTATGCAGACCATCTCTAATTCCTAAGACTCAAGGGAAAAAAATGAACGAGTGCAGGGAGGGTTTTTATAACTCAGGCAGAAAAGCTATGAGATCTCTGGCTTCATGTGAAAATTAACTCATAACTGAGCTCTAGTTAATGAACTTAAAAGTGAGCACTTGCAAATTCAATGCCTTTAAATATTTAGAAAATTGACAAGGATGAATTCAGATCCATGGGATCTGGGAAGTATTCAGTACTAAATCAGTTCTTGTACAGAAACCTCCTTAAATTTGTTGGTTTGATTAATATAGTCATATCTTTAGAGTCATTGATGTTAAGTATCAGATTAGCCAAAAAGTTCCTTCATTTTTTAAGTAAAACTAAGAGACACATTTTTCTTTTCATTTTTACCAAGATCTTTATTGAACAACATATTCATTTTGTTCCACTACCATCTGCCATTTTCGAGGCAACTTCACAGTTCCACCTTCCTAAAATTTTTATCTTTTTTTTTTTTTTTAATTTTCATTTATTTTTATTAGTTGGAGGCTAATAACTTTACATCATTGTAGTGGTTTTTGTCATACATTGAAATGAATTAGCCATGGATTTACATGTATTCCCCATCCCGGTCCCCCCTCCCACCTCCCTCTCCACCCAATCCCTCTGGGTCTTCCCAGTGCACCAGGCCCAAGCACTTGTCTCATGCACCCAACCTGGGCTGGTGATCTGTTTCACCCTAGATAATATACGTGTTTCGATGCTGTTCTCTTGAAACATCCCACCCTCGCCTTCTTTCAGAGTCCACAAGTCTGTTCTATACATCTGAGTCTCTTTTTCTGTTTTGCATATAGGGTTATCGTTACCATCTTTCTAAATTCCATATATATGTGTTAGTATACTGTAATGGTCTTTATCTTTCTGGCTTACTTCGCTCTGTATAATGGGCTCCAGTTTCATCCATCTCATTAGAACTGATTCAAATGAATTCTTTTTAATGGCTGAGTAATATTCCATGGTGTATATGTACCACAGCTTCCTCATCCATTCGTCTGCTGATGGGCATCTAGGTTGCTTCCATGTCCTGGCTATTATAAACAGTGCTGCGATGAACATTGGGGTGCACGTGTCTCTTTCAGATCTGGTTTCCTCGGTGTGTATGCCCAGAAGTGGGATTGCTGGGTCATATGGCAGTTCTATTTCCAGCATTTTAAGAAATCTCCACACTGTTTTCCATAGTGGCTGTACTAATTTGCATTCCCACCAACAGTGTAAGAGGGTTCCCTTTTCTCCACACCCTCTCCAGCATTTATTGCTTGTAGACTTTTGGATAGCAGCCATCCTGACTGGTGTGTAATGGTACCTCATTGTGGTTTTGATTTGCATTTCTCTGATAATGAGTGATGTTGAGCATCTTTTCATGTGTTTGTTAGCCATCTGTATGTCTTCCTTGGAGAAATGTCTGTTCAGTTCTTTGGCCCATTTTTTGATTGGGTCATTTATTTTTCTGGAGTTGAGCTGG